TTTCCACTCACTCCAAATCTGACCCAAAATTGTACTCTGCTATCTATACCACATTCACGAGTTATAATCAAGGGGTAGAGGAGAAAATGCAAAACAAATAATAAAGAACCAGCAGTAGGGCCAATGAAAACTCAATAAATATATCATTTTTATGATATCCTGTTTTAGTTTTTTTTATCATATTTTTTTTTACTGTTTTGTTATTGTGAAATACGAGAGAAACTTACATGGTATAGATGCATTGTTGTTGCCGTTCCATGCCAATGAAGATGAAAACTTACATATATCTTTTTTTCATTGAAATATGATGTTACCATAGTTATGAATCAGTGTCATGTATATACCTCTCATGAAGGACATAAATATATTAGGTACTTATTCGTTTAAAAGTGGGTTTCAACAGCCTAGTCTATTAGAAGTTGAACTCAAAACTACCTATTTAATAAGGGTAGAGGTATCACCACACTATAAGGTCAGTGACATCAATGAACCTTTGATGCATGGGGTTTATAGTACATGAGCTATATACTTAAATGTTTAATGGATGGATTGATTACAATAAAAATATTCAATGTTCACCAAATATGTAAACAAATTTTAAACAATAGTTAAAAGAAAAGTATTTGATTGTTGGTCCAAGAATAAATAGAGTTTCTGATCTTAGGAGCAAATGGATAGGGTCATGAATTGGAAGATATATACTTCAAAGAAAAAAAAAAATATTGAATGAAGAAATAAAATAAGGGGCATAGATATAATGGCCGATGGTGTTGGCTCAAGTTCGTAGGGGGATCGGGGACGTTCTATCGAGGGTCTCGTTCCTTCCAATTGCTTTGAGTCGGGAGAATGTGTAAGTTGATGGTCAACCGCAATTCGGGTCCTGATGTGTAGTTTGTCTCACTTAATCCTCTATGCCTACGATCAAGTTTTCTCCCCTTCAGTTAGTAATCTCTTTTTACTTTCAATATATCATGAGAAATGTTAAGAAGACTCTTTCAAAGTGAGACTCTCCATAAACTTTCTGCTATCTTACAATTTAACAACAATTTCGATGCCAACATTATAAAATATTGTGCCAAAAACATGAAATGTTAGAGAGTTCCACTTTTAAATCTCCTTAGCAGTTCTCATATATCATTGATTTCCCTATAAAAAAAAAAATACACAAATAGTCGATGGTGTTGAGAGCTTTAAAAGCAAATTTAATTAGTTGCAGTGATTAATTTCATGGCTTATGGCAAGGAATGTGGTTATTGACGGGTGTGGGGGAGAGAGGAGTTTGGGTGTTGAGAGCTTTAAAGGTTTTTGTTTTTCTTTGGGTAACCTAATTGTGGGAAGTTGGAGTTATTGTGTATATTAATGATCCATAGATATTCAAGACCTTCCTTCAACTGTATACAGACTCTCCCCATTTAATGGCCACTTCACACACCTCTTCCCTCCTCTTTCCCATCTCACCGCTCTCTCATAAGAATCATAACTTGGCATTTGGTGTCCATTTGGTTTTCAACTATTGGCTTCTAGCTTGGCTAGCTTAGCTCACCTTCAATTGAAATCAAAGTGTTTTTAGCACTTCAAAATAGTTATTATTAATTTCTCTCTTATAGAAATCAAGGGGAAAATGGAATTGGAGGATTTGGAGAGTGCATGATAACTATTTTAGAGTGCTTACATGTACTCTTCTAATATTCAGAACAAGAGAAACATCTACAAAACTGTTCATGTTGCATTTCAGTGTTGAGTGTCAGCATTCCACTTAAAACTCGGCATTTGGTTTACATTTGGCTAGCTTAGGTTGCTTACTTTTCAGGACATGAGTTATATATGTTAAATTGTTCCTGCTACGTGACGATTATGTAACAATCCAGTTAAAACTTGACCTTTGGTCTACAATTGGCTTCTAACTTGGCTAGCTTAGCTAACTTAATTATCGGATACATGCAAAAACTTGTGAAGTTGTCCCATTCACCCGATAGTACCAGCTGTTACAGTAGTTTGAGCTTGGGATGAGTTCCAGCAACATAAATTTATAGTAAATTTGGGTAAAGACTATTCTAAAGTGTTAATAGCAGTTCTCTTTGAATTTTGATGACTTGAAAACTTATGTGATTGTTCTTGCATGCCAAGTGGCACGATAATACAATTAAAACTTTGCATTCGGTGTACATTTGGCTTTTAGCTTGCCTAGCTTAATTCGCTTACTCTTCAAAGCATGAGTTGTTCTTGCCACATGACAATACTGAGTGGTGCAATAGTCTTGCTAAAATTTGGCTTTGGTGTACATTTAGCTTTTAATTGTGGCTTATGCATGGCTTGGATAACATACTTCACTAAATTTGAGACGTAAAAAACTTATGTGAAGTTGTTCTTGCCAGATAGCTCTACCGAGGTTCACAATATATAGTCTAGTTAGGACTTTTAAAATGTTTTTAAAAAAACTTAAAAATTAGTAATCAAATTTGAACACATATTATGTTTTACCTGAATCGTTGTGTTGCATAGTATTGCCATATGGCAGAAGTTATATTTATTTTTGTTGTACAGTATACAGTCCATGGAGACTAAATGCATTGCTAAGATTTATATAGTTGGGTGTGTTACGGTGGCATCAGGATCAGGGGGGTTGGGGGTATTAGACCAAGGAGTTGAGTTGGTTAGAATTTCACATCTTAGGCTTTAATAGAGAGCTGGCTTGGAGCTTTATTTCTGCTATAATAATCAGAGTTAATACAACCAACTTGGAATGCACGTCATGCATGCGTAGGCCAGGTTTCTTTTAGTTGTACCTTCAAATTTTGCCCCTTAGATCCTCCCTTGCGGTTGTGGCCAAACTCCACCAGCCTATATAACTACCAAAACAATTTCCCAACCATTTGACATATAATCCAATCCAACTCTCTCAACCTCTCAACTCTCCCCAGCTCTCAGCTCTGTGTGTGTGCTTTGGTAAGAGAGAGAGAGAGAGAGAGAGAGAGAGTAAAACTACTTATCTTTGAGTGATTGAATCAGCTAGAGCTATGGTTTCTTTTCAAGCTCATCCTCTTTCTCCAATCCAAAAGAAGGCAATCGCAGACTTTGAGAATTCACCCAAGAAAAGAAAATGGGACGACGATCCATACGATCATATGGAGCAACTTTTCGAAAAACGTGCGAAAGTACCACAAAGCACACCGAAATCCTTGTTTGATATCGAGCTTCACCTTGAGACTCCATTGCCTTTGGAGTGGCAAAGATGCCTTGATATTCAGGTATATTTTATATATGTGTGTGTTGTGTATATTTCAATTATATAAACATAAGTAACAAACATAGCATACCGTTAGATAACCATTTCAGTTTTTAGTATTTTACTTCTAAATAGAAACAATTTTTTTTATCGATCGTGTACATGCAGTCGGGGCAGATACATTTTTACAACACAAGGACTCAGATGAAGACTTCAAGGGACCCAAGGAGGAGCCCTGAGCCACCAACTAGTCCAGCTGCTGATCATCATCGTCGTCGTCGTCGTCCCATGAGCCTCGACCTGGAGCTCAACCTAAGATCGTGTGATCAATCCAGCGCTAATTCAGACATTTCATCAACACACAGCTTCAGTGATTTGTTCATGGAACCCCACAGACCAACAAAAAGTAACCCTATTAATTTAGGGTTTCATGTTGATCATCACCATCAGCAGCAGCAGGAGATGGTGGCCACTGTGTGCATCAAGTGCCACATGCTGGTGATGCTGTGCAGGTCTTCTCCTGCATGCCCTAACTGCAAGCACATGCACCAACCTGATCAGAGCCCCCCAACCCTATTCAATTTCAAGCCAAGGTTTACTAGTAGCTTCATGTGTTAATTAATTAGCCAGTAATTAAGCTTCTGCTAATTAAGACTAAGACAAGGCATGCCATGGTATGTAACAGTTAATTATATATTCTGTGTTATACTCTTCCTGGAGGATCTAAATTTCTGTCAAGTTATAGCTTCATCTTCCTCCTCTATTAGAAAAATGACTGGTAAGAGTGCTAATATATATATATATATATATATATATATATATATATATATATATAGAGAGAGAGAGAGAGAGAGAGAGAGAGAGAGAGAGAGCTCTACCTAATGTAAATATAATTGACGCTTATTATCCTACTACTAAAGTTGTTTAAACCATGGGTGTCGGTAATCATGGTCTGCTACTGATTATATATAAATGCTCTACTTTTGTTACTCTGTCTCAAGGATTTTATTTCTTTGCTTTATAAGTATATTGGATGAGATCGAACCCTCAACCGTTGCAAACTAAAGACGATTTATAGTGGAGGTCTACACTTTACTGGCGTAGTTGTCATCTTCGCATTTATTATTATTTTATAGAATTATAAGTTTTTTTTACAGAATTATTGGTAACACTCTGAAAATCTAATTCTGCATTCTGAATTTTTTATATTTTGAAAAAAAAACATTTTTATGAGGGAAAATTAAATTTCCAGCGTGATAATAATAGTTGTCATTTATTTATTATTATTATGGTTAGGATGAAACTGGTGTCAGCATACAAGTACACGCATCTCTTATTCTTTTTGCCTTTTTATTTCTGATGAAATCTCACTGCACATGTTTCCCCGACTGTTAACAAGGGCGACCTTTTACTTTTTGGAGGAGTAAAACTAAAAGATTTGCCCAAATGTTTTTAGGTAATTGAGGTTTACAGTGAGATCAAAGTAAAAATAGCCAACTACAAAACTGATGAACTTCTGGGAAAAGGAAAATACCAAGAGCAAATGCTGCTCATGCAGCCAGCTGACACTAGAAAATAAAATTTTTCATGGTAAGAACCATAAAAATGTAAATTAAAACCGCTGATCAGATGAAATCAACACAGGAGTGGTTAATCATTCACTGTCAAGACATTAATATCCATTAGGAGAAAGAACATTCTAAACACGATACCATACTTCTCATCATGTAATATAGCCTGCTCTGAATAGCGAATCGTAAAAATTAACAGATATGGAAAATTTTCAACTATAGAGCAGCATTCAAATCAATCTTACAGAAAGATGAGGTCCCTGAAAAGTTACCATGTTAGAAAAGAAAATAACGATGAATTGTCACTGTGTATAAGGAAGAAAATTTGAATGCTAATCTTCCCTTCTGTGTCTAATCTTCTTCTGTGTATCTACATCTTGACCTAAATCGACGAAACTGTAGAGATCAATGCTCATCTTTAATCTTCTGTGTATTTTCATGTATCCTATGTAAGTACCAACTTTGCCAGCTGCTGGTTTTGTATAGAATTTGAATTCATTCCGTACTAATTATCGGACTAAGTAATTTCTCAATCATCTTCAGCTTTCCTGTAAAACTTTATTGTTGTGCAAAAATGTTGGGTGCTGCCCTAGGCTCTCCGGAAGAGGTTCTGAGCTCAGATTGTAAGCGCTTGTCTCAAGAGAAAAACTTGCCATGAGGGCAATATGGTCTGATGACCATTTAGCAGATGGAAGGTAACCTTCTATGTCAAGAAGCTCCAATACGCTGTCAAGCCTCAAGCTAGCAGCTGCAGGAAAGCATTATACATACAGTCAACGAAAATGATGAATAAAACAAAATTCAGAATTTGAACAAGGTGTTAATTATATTCATCAGAATGCCTAAATAGCAATGCCGCATGCTTATACATTATGAAAATGCAATTACTCTCGTAATGTATTCCACTATGTACTATAACCAAAATGTCAGATTTGCAATGCCTTGGAAGCCAATAAGGAAGAAATACACGGTGCTATAGAATGAACCGATAAGAAACTTTCACAAGATTTTAAATACTTCCAATTAGATATAGTCATTGCTAGAAACGTCTTTCTGAATTGTTCTACATAAGCAACCTTGGGAGGTCAAAATATTCTTTTTCTAAACTTTACCCTATAAGTTTCGTGAATGAATTTAGAAAGAAAAAAAAAAGACAATAAATGGGTCGAACAAGAATTTTAGGGGAGAACCGAAGCCTACTTAGATTTTACATTGCAAGAGAAGCATTTGTTAGCAAGTAAAGCTATCCTTTTTTCTCTCAAATGTCCATGGCTATTAAATACATCAAGGCTCAATCCTCACATTATTATATGTAATGCCACTTTCCTGATACAGTTGTCTGACTATCAGCCCAGTATTTTGGTAGAAATTAATCAATATATACATCAAAGGACACTTTTGGAAAATAATTTAAGCCTCGTTAAGACGCCTGGATCTCTCTTAGAAAAAAAAGAAAAGAAAAAGAAAGCGAAAGCACCTAGCTCTCGACTCTCAAGTGACAGACATATAAGTAGAGGACAGAAACCCATGTGGTCTTTCCAAAGTATAATTTGTTAATACAGATTCATATTGAACTTTCAATGACTCATAATACACGTTTTGTTCAAAGAAAACATATGTTAGGCTGAACTTTAGCAGAGAAAAATCAGATACATTATAAAACTCAAATGGTACCTGTGTAGAATATATAATCTAAAGTTCCAAAGAAGGATGGTGTGCGGCTGGTGAACAAAGGTTCCTCGGTTTCAGGATCCATTTTCTCACGTTGGTGATCCTCGACCCCATCAGACTGAAAAAAAGTTGCATATGCACTTACCTGGAAAAGAAAAGAACAACTTTTCAGCGCTTTAAAATGATCACAAAAATGATAAGCTCTGCAGAATTCAAATTCTTGCAAGATGTTCAGAACCTCAACCAGCTTTAGAGGTGAGGGTTGGGATACATTGTTCAGTAGGAACTGAGATTAAAAAAGGAGCACAAAATTGGTCGGTAGGGAATTAAGGGATACATTGGCCTTACCAGATTCAATGAATGAGAAAGCTTGAGTGTTTGCAATATGCCCGATTTATCAGTTTCCTTGATGGGAAGAATCTCAACTCTGGCCTTGCTTATGAATGTATAAGGATCACTGCAATGTTGAGTGTGAATATCAGTCTAAACTTCATTTCTCATCCCAAGTAGAAAATTAGAAATAAATAGTCGCCAAAGTTAAGAAGAGAAATATATGGAAAGAGGACGTTTGGTTTGCTAGGAATAATAATTAATATATCCAATTGGATATATTAGTTCAAGAGAAACATGGAATCAATCAATGAGTACAAAAAATCGTAAATGGAAAATCAGGGACTATATCAATTCTTCCATCATAGTCTCAGAAGCCAATTAGTAGTAGCCGAAGGCTAACCTCTGAGGCAGAGAGTTCAAATCTGCACAAATCAGCAGGGGAATCTTCAACTCAGCAATTTTCTCAAGTGCATGGATGAGGGTTACAACCTTGTACCAGAAAAGAAGATAGTCAATTCTGCTTTTTAAACTCAAAACTAATAGAAGGAAGAGTTTCATTTTACACACTGCACCTGCAACAATTTTATGTCTGGATTTTGTACATTTGCATGTATATGGGTATTTGCCTATGGTCAAAAGGGACAACTGTGTCAGCAGTCAGCACTCGAGGATTTATGATATAAGGCTGTAGAATTTGAAATAGACATACTACCACACAAATTCTAGGTTGATTGCCATCAGAAGAGCCCTCATTTCCCACCATTTCTAATATAACAACAAGTGCAACATTGTCCTACAAAATCGCGTACAAGAAGCTGATATAACAAACAGAAGTGAAGCAGAAACAAAAGCCACTAGAACATAGTGAAGAGTAAAAACTATACGAGAGTCTAGAGATGTAAACCTTCAACAGACGGAGAGCTTCATTTTTCTGTTCACCATCCAATGAATCTACAAAGGGCTTTGCTGAATTATTAAACTCAAGCTGCAAAGAAAACCAGAACCATTAAATACCTCCAGCATGCATATATTCACATAGATAGATTTCCTCGCTTTTTCTCCATTTTCGTGGTAAGTACAAGCGACAACTTCCTCACCTCATATGTTGCAATTTCTTTGAAGCGTCGATTGCGGTAAAATGTAGCACATCCATCAACTGTAAGCTGGGACTTAAACGTAAATATCTGAAAGACATCCATTAAACTCATATTACCATGATATAATGCCATCAATCATTTTCTGTTAAGTGATTGCCGTTAGACCACATAAAGCAAAACATATGCTCCCACTTTTCTAGAAGAATTTATATATCATATTCTTTTGAAAACAAACTGGTGCAGAAATCAGAATGCACATTGCACAGAACATTTGTGTAGGGAGGTAATTAATATGATTAAGAATTTAAATGCACAAAACTTATATTTTTAAAAATATTATTTTCATTATTTGTAACGGAAAGCAATGCAAAAATCAATATTACCTGGGCTAATGAATTGGATGTCTTAAAAATTGTATTTAGATTTTTGAGTATCAGCAAGTTACATAGAACTGACATCCTGTTACCTAAAAACTTATATTGAACAATCTCAAGGATGCTTTGTCCAAGTCTTTGACGAAAAGGCCACAGGAAGGTGGCATACTAATGTGACACAATTAACTAGGACAATGAGAGGACTACAGGGCCTTTTACCAGACTTTTTACCAGTCCCGTCTTGTAGCAGGACATTGTTTATACAGGATTCTGTACGAAACTCAACCTACTTACCAAATTTATCTAACAATTCATTTACTTTTTAAACATTAATTATTCCAGATAAGCAGTTCATACTGTATAGTAATGCTTTATTACAAGTCAGGTTAATGCTGGGGAACAAAAAATCAAGACCAACTCTATCTATAAACAAAATAGGTCAGGCTCAAATTTTATCACAGTTGCCCTGTAATTTTGACTTTCAACCTACTAATACAAAGTTCCAATTCCTCTAAAAAGTAGGAATTGGAGGTTTCAAACCGCAGGCTCATACCGTGTTAGACAAGCATTGAACTCCAAGTGGTTAAGTTTTCAAGGGGTGGGCCAACAATGTATACCACAAGGACAATAAAGTAACAACTCAGAAAAAACAAGCTAAGCTACATACCAGAGGACCATGTTAACCAATTCTAACCGTGGCTGCAAGGGTGCATACGTTAGGCAAAGGGATACTATTCTAAGCAGTAAATCCTGGAAGTGCATGTATTTCTATTAAACAGGCCATATCACCTTACCTCGGTCTTTTTCTTCTTGTATACAACCAAGTATCCATATTTTTCCAACTCAGGTTTGAGGAAATTCTCAAAATGATCTTTCTGTACCTGCCCGTAGATGAGGAAAAATATAAAAATTAAAACAGTCTTGGGCAATGATCTCGTAAAAACATATGCGTTTAAGAACAGAGTAGTTACCTCTTGGAGACATAAGATATCTGCGTCATAGTCAATGATCTCATAAAGTAAATTGTGCTGACGATATGCCCATGAAAGAGCCCAATCTGGGCAGTAATCGTGCCGCTTACTACCACTAGTAGCAAGATAATCAGCGAGAATATTATAGGACAGCACCCTAAATGTTACATCGTTAGAAGAGTGTTCTTTGAGGTCAGCGATACAAGAGTTCCACATTGTACAACGTGGTGGATGAGGAGGAGGATAAATCACAGGATCTGTCACTTCGATTCTTGCTGGGCACAATGGTGTACGCGTTGAAGAATCAACAACTTCAAATTTTAGCCTCAGACAAAATCCAATATCATGCTCCGTGGGTACATAATATTCCCAAGATCCCATTTCAATCCATGTTTTCCCATCTTGTTCCACCACCTCATTAGGTTGTGAATCGTCATCCTGATAGCTAGGTGAATCAGGATAGGAGCCATAAGGCCCTAAACTCTTGATAATTTTCACCGCTTGTGGATCAGGATCTGCAAAATGATGGTGCACCTTGTGCTTCTTCCAGGCAGCCATAAAACAAGTGTCAGAGCAATAGTAACTTATCTTGGTATGCCGATTTTGACCTACACAAACTATACACTGAATTGTGGACAGCTTGTCAGGGTGGACAAAACAGCGAACCTTCTCTTGATTGGAAGACGAGCAAACATGCTCTCGGTACCTACAATATATAATAATAATGAGAGATTAACAGCAGTGCTACCGTATATTGGAACGAGTACTGAACAGGAACCCGCCATAGCAGGTTCTGCGATTCAACAATACGTTTCTGTAGTACAACAATTTCAACACTTTGGATGCACGAAAAATTTCATTTTTTTTTTTGGCTACAACAAAATTATTGTTATTACTGTTACTGTATTGGTTTTTTTTTTTTTTTATAATTCTTTCTGATGGACCATCTTTTACTTCATATAGTTATTATCCTTTCTTGTTCTGTATTGTTATTTTGTTCTAACTATATTTTTAATATTTTTATTATTGCTGTAACTTTTATTTATGTTGATCATAATTACTGTTATAATTATTCATTGGTATGCCTAAGTGTCTGAAATTTGAATAAATAAGGAAAAACTAAATCATCTCTTTAATTATAATTATATATCATTATTTTAGAAAAACAAAATTTCATGAAGCCTCTTACAAGTGCCTACCTTTAAGGAAGCAAAATAAAAATAAATAAACATAAAAAGCATCAACTTTTCATTTGTTTATTTATTTCTTAAAGATTTAGAAATTCACTTGGACAAATGAAGCCATTTTTCGCAGCAAAAAAACAGAGCAATAATATTGACTAGAATTACCTATTTCATAAGAAATAAAAAAGAAATTTTATTACAGGAAGTAATTTTGATTGCTTTGAGCAAAAAGAAGAATGTAAAACTTGATTTTGGTTCAAGAAACCAAAACCCAACTCTCCAAATTAGGACCAAAAATCCTACTTGTCCTTATTGAGACTAAATTTCACCAAATATTCACTAAACAAAAAAGAGTAATCTTTTCCTCTGTTTCTTTAGCAACCAAAAGTTTAATAAAAACCCCACTTACAAGTCATACATTGTGATTAAAACCCACATGAAGAAACAAGAATATATTCATACATTCATCAAGAAATTAAAACCCAGAAAATTAAGAGAGAGAGAGAGAGAGAGAGGCTAACCAGGTGAAAGAATTCTCGTGAGGCGGGATTTGAAAAGAGCCTTTGGGTTTGGCCACATGAATGTAGGGCTGGAATCTGCAGCCGAACACAGGAGCATTTGAAGGAAAATGCAGATTGAGTCTCCAATTGGGGGACTCAGACGACCCAGATTCTTGAGCCATTGAAACCCAAATGGCATTACCAGAAAAAATGGGATTTTGGCGCAGAATGGGAGGAGGGTTTTGCGGAAAATGGGATTTTTGATCTCTTTGAAGCAAAAGATTGAAGCTTTGTGAGAGAAAAATTAATGGGGTTTTGGGGGTTTTATCAGAGGTTTTACGTGGAGGAAGATGGAGAGGCCTCTTTCTCTGCTCTAATTATATGTTTTTTTTTTTTTTGAACGAATATTTATGTGGAAACAGTGAGTGAGAGGGAGTGTTTGTTTTTTGTGTCTTACCGCTATTTTTAATCTGCAACAAATTATGAATGAAAATTGATAGGAAAGGAAAAAATGATTTTTTATTTTATTTTAGTAAAATTAAGAAATAAATTTTCTTTTGTGTCGTAAAGAAATTAGTTGAACTGCGAAATGAAAAAAATAAATTGGAATGATAATTTTGTAGTTTCATTAGCCAAAATTTTCTTACTTGTACTTGTATAGTTACTTCTGAAGTCAAATCCGATTTATTATTTTTTCCCTATACAAATAATCTTGTGTGTTCTTTGTTGTTGTTACTTCTTAAGTCAAATTTGATTTATTGGTGTTTTTCACACAAATAATCTAGCGTTGTATGTACTTGTTGATCCTAAAAATTACAAAGCTTATGTGGCGCACAGGCCGAGTAACCAATAAGCTAACTACGTCATTCGGTTGAATGCGAGGCGTGCCAACTCGTCGGCCGAGTAGTAAAATTTGTTGATGTTGCGTTGAGCGCTTTGCTGACTTCTTTATCTTGCGATTGCGGCCGAGGAAGAAACAAATCTCGGCCTTTGGATTCTCGAGCCTGAAGACAAGGCTGCTAGTTCTGTGAAATTCATAAATCGTCGGCGCCGGATTCGGTCACAGTGATTATATTCGTGAGAGTATAAGCACGTCGAATCGACATTAGACTGTACGGACACAAGTATTCAAAGGTGATGTATGTCTTGATGGTGAATGCGGTTCGGCCGTCAGAATGCCGAACTCTGAAACTCACTTGTGAATATCCAATCATAAAATCACTCGGCGTTCAATGCGCCGAATGTCGTAACTTGTAACACTTTACTTCGCCGAGAAGGTTAATAAAATGACCTCTGCCAATAAGGATTTCAGAAACTTTTCTCGACCGAGACTTAGATAGGTAACTAGTCGGCCTCGACACAGTGCTATTTATCCAAACTGAAGGTGCTCATCGGTCGGCTGATTCTACGGTAACAGTGTCGTTTATCCAAACTGAAAGTGTTCGTCAGTTGCCTTCACAGTGCTGTTTATCCAAACTGAAGATGTGTCACCAGGAAAAAGAAAATAAAAAATCTCAAGATGTTTGAGAAGTTTTGCGCAGGGCAGTTGTGTGTTGAATTGGAGGTCCCTGAATTGCACCATCCTTTCTCTATTTATAGCAGCAAACCCAATCCTAACCATACTCGAACTAGGACTACTTACCCCAATCCATCTTATCTCGGCCAATCCCACTTCTATTAGGACTTTGAACTCACCCCCTTTTGAGGCCATATTCATTGTTGGTCGAGAATCTAAATAGCACTAGGACTTTTTCGACCCCTTTGTTCATACAAACCACTCCTTCTTGTGACAAAACTCGACCATCCTTGCTGAATGGCCCGGGACCACCAGGTAGCCCATAGTATATTTGAAATGGCTTTGGGCCGAACAAAAATCTACACTTGGCCCAATAATATTATTTTGGGCCTAAACATTGCCCCCTCTTTTCTGAGGTCCTTGGCCAAGAATCCTTAGACGATTTCGACCTTGAAGAAGTGAACTCTACGAGATACCCATGAGATAACGAAAAGCCTCACACGTCTTATCCATCGAGCGCATTCATGAAGTGTGATCACACGACCCGAATTCTCCTGCACGTCCTGCCGCGTGTCACTCCCTTGATTAACCTAGCAGCCCTCAATCATGATCCTCGAAAACATGCGCCAGCCAAAACATCTCTTCCACATTAATACATTGATTTCGATGTAGAATGCAATCGTGCGTCCTAAAACCTCGAGAACCTTGATCCTATTCTTAGAGATTCCTAAGATATCCGAAATGATTGGCCATTTCCCGATCGATTTTTCCCTCAAATTTGAAAATCAAAACGCCTCAAATTATCAAATGTTTGACCTTCCTCTCAATACGCCTATAAATACCTGAAATCCTCCCATTCGTACATTTCATGCTTCCATAAAACTTCAAAAAATCTCTCCGCCATTTTGCTTTCGAAATCCCAGAAAAACAACCTTTTATCCTAGAAATCCTCCCAAACATTCTTCCAAACTCTTCCAGGTTTTCCAAAATGACTTCCAACACCTTTATTTCCAAGCTCAACGACAAATGTAGCAAATGCAAAAGCTTCATCGATCGGAGCGCCATCAAAACCCTGCACTTTAAGAATGACCTGAGCACTACCCATCAAATCCTGGGGCCACTCTTCAAGGATGCAGTACCTTCGTCTATCACCACCCTCTTCAAGGCTTACTGCCTGACACCCTAACTATAAGGGTTCCACTGGTCAAAGTGGGACCTATCAAAGCCCTAAGGAGCCTGGTCTACGACCAATGCCAACTGGGCGGCTTGGGTCGTTCGAATGGAAAATTTCTTCGGCCAATAGTGGAAGGCTCTTGGTATCTACGATGCCATCAAACTCTCGACCATGGAACTAGCCATGGATAAAAAATTCCTTATGGCAGCACTAAGTCTCTGGTGCTCGGCCACCAACACCATGGTACTTCCTTTTAGCCCTCTCGGCCCTACCATCCTCGATGTCTCGGTCATTCTTGGGACTCCTTTCTCTGGCATTCTGACAGATGCCACTCTCTTTGGACGCTTGTCTAATCTCGACCTTAAGGCACTCTTCGATGATCGAGCTGTCGAAACACTGAGCCGAGCTAGTCAAGAACATTCGAAAGAAAAGGTTCAGAAGCTACACAAGAACTTCTTCAACTACAACACCCTTATCCTCCACTTTGTTGGCCGAGGCGAGGCAAGTCTTAGGAAGGGAGAACACGAAGCCTTCCTATTCTACTGGTACAACAAATTTATTTGTTGCACCTTGTCAAACAAGTGTTTGGTCGAAAACATGCCAGTGGCTGAAGCCCTGGCCAGTGGTCATACTCTGGCCCTTAGCTCGGCCGTTCTCGCCAATCTTCTCCCTGCCTGGCCGAGGCGACAATTGGAAAAATCGACCCAAACCAAAACGATCCCCTCTGGGTTTTCCAACTCTGGCTACAAGTCTACTTCGCCATACTTCAGCTAGACATCTTTGCCTTCCAACCTACTACCTCGCTCAACCTTCAGTTGGCATCTCGGCCGTCGCCTCCTCACCAGGCCGAAAAAGTTTTCAAGTACTTCTTTAGCCTAGAAGTCCTCTCCGACGACGAATTTTTAGTGTGTCGTCAAGAGCACCCTTACTCTATTAAGCTTTCAACATCAGCCTGGAGTGAAAGTGAAAATGCTGCCCTTCGCCAGAATTGGGGGTCGATCGTGTTAGCACTTGACCTTCAACTTGGTTATGATTTTCGCCGAGTGAGTTGGGAAGTCTACCACCCCCACTTCATGGCTCGACAACTTGGATACCTTCAAGGTTGTTCAGTACCTCTACTCATTTCCCGTTCCCTCTTTAGCTAAGAACGCCTTTCTGGCTCATCAGAGAGGGAGTGCAGAAACTCCAAGAAAGAGTTTCACGATCGGTGCAAAACATTTCGCCTTCGACCAACTCTTTTTGAATCGCTCGGCACAGACACCTTCAGCGACTGGTGGGAAGAGTACACTAGAGCCTTCTTTGGGGTTGCGGTCGAAAACATTACCGACAAAATTTTCGGCAATCGACCAAAGAAAATCTTTGCCCCTCAATCCAAAGAACCGACCCGAGATAGATGGCTAGCCTTTCTTTTATTTCTCTTTTCTATTGTCACTGATCCTTGCTAATGTGATCTTGTTTTCTCAGATGGTTGGTCGTCAAAGAAAGCGGACGTGATCGCCGCGGCTGCAGCCAAGGAGAAATCTGCTCTCTCTAAGAGGAGCAAAACCGCCGTGCAACCTTCACAAGGCAAACGACCTCGTTCGAAAGATAAAGTGGTCGGCGAAGCTCCCCGACCCTCAAAAAACGTTAAGAACTTGGCGAAGAAGGGGGTACGGGAGATCCACGTGATTTCCAGCCACACTATTGGGATAACCACGACAAGCAACTCTCCCCTCGCACCGGTCATCCTGGCCCCAACCGAAAAACGGCCAACGGTATCTTGCCAAGTAACCCGGGCCGTCCCTGGGGTAGTGGCTGATCTAGGGACTGCTCCGCTGGTTGAGGGACCTATAGTCTTGGGGCCAACAACTACGCCTGCCCTTGAGAAAATAACCCCACCCGTCGGGACAAATTTCCCGAATAAACAATCAACGATAATCTTGGAAGAGGTATGACTATGTCGCTAGTGACCCTTTCTTCATTTTATCAAATTTACAAATCTTAACAACTTTTTATTTTAGGACGATGAGAGCGACGAGGGTGACAAGATTCCGCTGGCGAGTCGTCCTCGACCAACCAGACATACTTTCGCCACTCTTCCCCCCTCCCGTGGTCGAGGCGACTGCTCGACCGGATCCTCCTACGGCTGATCGTGGGAAGAGACCTCTGGTTGAGCCTGAGGCGACGGCAGAAACGCTGTTCCATCCACAAGATGAAAACCTCAACATTTTTCCACAAGAAGTTACCTTGGCTTTTGTAAGGCTCACTCCCCTTTCTTTATTAATTTTATTATGACGCATCTGAACCCAGGAAAATATTAATCGTCAGGTGCCCGATTGTTCATTTCACTGACAATTCTTTGCGCCGAGGGGTGTTATCTACATTTCCTGGCCACCTTAGTGGCCATTAAACATATATAAACTCCATCGATCGCGTGAATTGAGAAGCAGTCTTGGACATTGGGCTTGGCCATTAGGCTCTCTAGGTTCGAGTAATGAACCAGAGGACATGGCCAAAGTCTTTTCTCGGTAGGTTTAAAAGCAATTTCCCTTTGTTATGCATCCCATATAATTTTCCTTTTGCTTACAAATTTTCTTTTTCTGTGCAGCCTTCGTGGCAGGTCGAGCTTGACGCTCTTCTTTAGAGCACCACTGGCGCGGCTGGTTCCTCTGCTGCCTCTATCGAACCAGTAGAGACTGTGGCCGAGGCCCAAGCTTTTGTCAAACTGCATGAGCTTCTGTCCCTCTCTGCCTCTCAGGTCCTCCAATGCAAGGGTCTTGACTCCGTAGGGGAGTGCTTGAACGACCTTGCAAATAGCGGTTTCTTGAGCACGGACAATATCGCTTATTTGTCTGATCTTCTGGAGTAGACTCAACAACACTTTACCATTTTTGAACAAGCTCTATGGGTCGAGGATGACCTAAAGGCGGCAAAGATTGCACATGAAGCCGATCAGTCAGAGGTGGAGGCCATAAAAGTGAAGAAGGCGCAGCTGATCGAGTTTGATCTCCAGATTTCTGAGCTTCAACAACAAAGATCAGTTGCTGCTTCAGAGCTTGAGAAGGATTTCAAGGCGAATAAGGCTCGGTTGACGAC